ACCACTAAGGGAGCTTCTCAACAGGCCAGCTCGCAGCGGGGCACACTCCGCCGGGGAGCACCCGGCCTCGGCTGCGCCATGGCGGCGGGTAACGAGGGGAGGCGGCACGGGGGCTACCTGAGAGTCGCTCTGCGGCGAGAAGCTGGCTGCGGGGACCGGAGGGGCTCGGGAGCCTGCGAGCCGGCTCCGGCGAGAAGGAAGCGAGGGCGAGACTGCGCGAACAAGAATTTTGGGAGCCCTGGATCTCCCCACGCCGGCGGAGGAAACTGCCCCGATTACCGTGGAGACGTCGCGCCTGCGCCGCGGAGCCACTTCCTGTGTCGCCCGGAAGACAAGATACGAAAAGGCTCCTCCTCCCGCGAGGAGATAGCACATGCGCACAAGAACTGTTGACGTCGAGAGGCGGTCCTCTTGCCAGCAGCTTGCGGATTGGTCGAAAGTTCCTGTAGCCGACAGCCAGGGGTAGAGCGATCGCTTTGATAAATCTGCAGCCCTGGCTGGTGGAGGGCAATGTTTTGTGAGTGAAAAGTCAAGCAAAAGTCTTATTGCTGCCAATTCAAGTCCAACTCCATCCTCCAGAGAGCCCCACATTTCTAGCAAACCCCCAGCTGGGGTTGCGGGGCCACGCACTGCAGTTAAGCACCAAGGAGCTAGATCAGGTATTTAGGATAGTTTAACGGAGCTTTAAAAAACTCTGGTGCCTGGGCCTCTTCAGATTCTGATTTAGATAATCTGGGGTGGAACTAAGGGAAATAATATGTTTAAAAAACGAGTTTTTTAGATGCAGCCTAGATTGAGAACCTCTCGTCTAATGATGGTAATAGCTCTTTGGAGCACTATCTAGACGGGTCCTCTCCTGTAATTTCCACAGCAGCCCTACGAGGGAGTTATTGTAATAATCTCCGTTTCATAGAAAAGGAAAGTGAGGCTGAGAGAGGTATCGTGACTTGGCAAAGAAAACGCAGCTGCTAAGCAGTAAAGCCAGTGAAGCCTGCGCTGTGTCTACTGGTCTACCTGCAAAACCCTGGACTCTTCTCTGACAAGTCCTCCCCCTCGACCACACCTTCCCTCATTCTTTCCCGAATGGGTCATCCGTACCACCCCTCCTTGACGCTCTCAAAGCCTTCTTCAAGCCAGCTCAGTGCTAACCATATTCAGCCCCATAAAACAGCGTACCTGCCTCGTCTAGCTGCCTAGAGCATAAACGTTGCGTCTTGCTCCCACGTGTATATCGCTGCAGCACCAAGCACAGCGTCTTACATATATTCGGTGTTAATAGTTGTTGAATGATCCTGTTCTATGCACAAAGCATCTTTCAGAAGCATCTATGGTGACAGAGATTCTTGTACAGTACTGATGATTCAGCATACTTTTAAAACTTTTCCCGCTGCTTAGGGCTCTCAACAAACCCCGTTTGTACAGCCCATCTGTGGAGCAATTGTGGCAGCGCACTCGCACAAACGTGATTACAACTAACTTCCCCGACTCTTCCCCAAGGGTATTATTCAAACACACACTTTCCATGAATTATCTCATGTAATCATCGCAATGACTCTGTAGGATAGGCATCATTGTTATCCCATTTTATGGTGATGAAGCCAAGGCCGGGTGGTCACTTGTCCCAGCCACAGAGGCAGTGAGTCGAAGTGGATTTGGGAGGCAAGCAGCCTATCCCCAAAACCTGATCCTGCACCCTCCCGAAACAGCAGGAGGTGGAGAGTATCCCATTTTTCCCCCCTTAGAAAACAGGATGGAGGATTGCTGCAGTCTGTACCCATGGGTTTGATTAATGAGCCATAGATTTCAGGTGAAAAATTATTAAAAATAAAAACCTAAAATGTTTTGGTGATGGCTATTGACACTGGTGAGCCCTTTACACGCGGATATTTATGAATGACTGCACGGATTATATTCCATTGCTGGGTGAACAAAAGCCGAGTATGGAATTTTATGTCAGTTCCTTCTTATTTGAAGTGATCTTTCTTAAACTTTAGAGATTTTAATGTTGTTTAAGGTTTTGTAAGGAGGCACACCTTACATGCAGCTTCACAAAGAACTGGGGGCGTCCAAAGCTGGGGGTCCCTCTCCAGTCCTCTGTCTCACACACAAACCCTCAGTGTCCCCAGCCTCTCTCTTGGTGCCTCGGACTTTCACCCTGTTCCTTAAAACAATGACCTGAAAGTGTTTGAAGGAAAAGTCCACCGCAAACGGTGGAAGGATTTGAGATAGGTAGAGCTTCTGCCAGCAGAGGGCGACGTCAGCTTGTTCTCACAGGACCGTTTCCTTGGGCTTCGAGTCTTGACTGGCAACAGCAGCAGTGTTTCCCGATACCTTCCTACAAACGTTCCTTTGGACACACTCTTTAGGGCGCGTGCACATGCAGCTTAGGTTTGAAAGCACTTTCTTGTTTTCACCACTAAACAGGTCTCTACAATCACACCGTTCAGCTCAGTCTCTCTAAAGGTAGTAGTGGAAATCCTGAAACGTTCTGCCTACTTTGTAGAAAGTGCAGCGTGTATTTTTCCCGTGAAATCATGACTTCTGAAACCACTTAGCATCGTCAACAACAGTTAAATTTCTCTGAAACGTGAGCATATCACGGAGCTCTTATTTTACTAGGGTGATTATGAGCCTTTAAGGAAAAAAGATTCTCTGAACATCTTTTTGTTGCGTGAGTTTTTATTACTTTAATTATAAACAGATTCCAGTTCAAATGTTCTTCCTTGATTAAAATGATGGAAATATTTAAAATAAATACAGATGATCATGGTAGAGGGGATGTCTGCTGTCATTTTAAATAGATGCCAATTTTACGGTAGTCCTTTAGGGGAACAAATCTTAAGAATTAGCATTCTAGATGACTCCCAAATAGCTACTCACATTCATTTTTCTTCTGCATCTGATAAAGATGGGCAGCAATGCCAAACTATAGTGTATTTTTTCTTCCCGTTTTCATTTTCCAAATAAATGGAGATTTTTAAAGTAAATTTCCAATCATGAACTTGAGATGAATTTAATTGTCCCAAGTGAACATCTCTGCAAGCCCTTTTCAAATGGTAGTGACTGCAGGCGATTTTTCGTTCCCTCCCGCTTTGGCAGAATATCTTGATCCAGAGATTCTGAGGCTTAACCACAAGTTAGTCATCTTCTTTACAAAACTTGTCAAAGTTTAAAGATATAATTAGATGTTAGTGGAAGATGTATAGTATAAATTCAAAGAAATGTGATTTATAAGAATTTTTCTCAAGTTTCTGATAGCCTCACAAGTCAGTCAAGTTAACAGTATACCAGAATGTTCTCAAAATGAAACATCTAGTTCTGATGTGCCCGGGAACACAACACAACGGCTGACACCACAGCCTTGGCATGGGGGGCCTGGCTTTGACTCGGACCCAACAGCAGGAATCGCAGCCCTGCCCCGGGCAGGGCGCACGCCGGGCCACGTGAAGCACTTTGTGTAAACCAGTGGCGTGGCTGCAGCATGAGCTCTGGAGCCAGACTCTGGGTTCAAGTTCCAGCTCCGCTGTTTAGCAGTTCTGTCAACTCTACAGTAATCCTTTTGGGGAAATCTTAAGAACTGGCAAAGCTCCTTCACCTCTGTGTACCTTTGTCGCCTCACCTGTGAAATAAGGATGATGAGAACACTACCTAGCTGATAGGGCTTCTGTGAAGATTAAACTGATTATTTGTAGAACAACTAAAAAAATGCCTGGCACATACTGTGTCACCGAAGGTATTTTCTTTTATTGCTACAGCAACAAGACCCTGTTGAACAGTTACTAGAACCTGGAGAGCAGGGACAGCTTCATGGGTGTCACCCTGTGCCGTCACACAGGGTCCCCATGCTTGGTTTAATGTCCTGCTGCTTTACCTTGGAATTCTCCATCACTTCTGAACGGGGGACCCTACACTTAGAGTCAGCGCTGGGCCCCACCCACTCGGCTGCTGGTCCCGCTCTTGAAGCAGACAGGACTGCTATCCACTCAGCCCCCTCTGTCTGCGTGGGTTCGGACAAGCGGCATTCCGGGTGCCCACCTGCAAGCCACAGGCGCGCGTCCCCAGGAGGCCTGTCGCACGGTCCTGGGTAAGGGGGACTGGCACCGACGAGCGCTCAGAAAGCATGCCTGCTGTTGTTACCAGCATCTCCCGGTAAAGCAGGCGGCCCAACAGTTTTGTCCTTTTCCTATACGTACATTTCTTGTTCACAATTGTAAGAAACTTTCAGGGCAGTTAACAGTTTATTGAAAGTACAGAGTAAAATCATCAAGCCCATCTGGAAAAATTAAGATACGTTTATGAGGGCGAAAGATCACATCTTAACTGTTACGGAAGGGAAGGATAAAATCTGAGGCTTCTGTAAATCCTAACACCGGAGAAGTTCTTTGTCCTAAAAACCTACACTAGGGCAGAATTCAGCTGACTTGCATGTGGGTAACAACTGGTAAAACCCTTGAGAAAATTTTCAAATAAATATATTATTCATAAAAAGCAAGCTCAAAAACGAAAGAACAAGCTCGGAAGACCACACACCCCTGCACACCGATCCGTGACAAACTGCACGGACCTCGCAGTGAGAGGAGGGGCGTGACCTGTGCGCCGTGACGGCGAAGGGAGGGCAACTGAGAGGCCGCTGGACGCCGGTTTTGCTGCTGATCAGACACTTCAGGCTTTAACGCTCGTCGTGTCGTAGAGAGCAAAATACTTCTGTAGACTTTGACGACATGTAGACGTGTTTTTTCAAATAAAAGTTAAAAGTCAAAATAACATTCTTTTATAATTGAGAACAGGGTAGAGATCACTCTCTATAAAGAAGGGTAAATAAAGTCTTCTAAAGAAAATTAGAGTACAGCATTTGTTTTCACAAAAATATAATTAATGAAAAATTATTTTATTTTACCTCTGTGAAATTAAGAATATATATATATATTTATGACAATGTCTTCTACTGGAAAAAATACTGAGAATCCTCTTGAAATCACAAGATATATTCTGATATATTTTTAGATCCACCCCCCAAATTTTAATTTGTTAGGTAAGTATACTCGGGAGAGATAATCTGATGACAGGAAGGTCAAAGCTTGAATTTCTGCCTTCATTTTAGAATCTGCCATTATCTCCATCTGTCGATAGAAGGAAAATACAGTCTGCCAGAGTCCGTGACACAGAGCTGCCGACTCAACAATGTATAAATCTAGACTTGTTCTATTCCCCAGCACCGTGGGCAACAGTCTTCGGGGTCAGCTGAAATGTTCCAGAGCTGCAACAGCTAAAAATACCAGGGGACTACCCAGGGTAGATGCCTTCAATAACTAGGAGTATTCTGGGGTCTTTATAAGTCTTTTTTCCCTCCAGTAACTGTGCTACAGCCCTAGACAGTGGGTTCATCACTATGATAAGGACACAAACAGACCGGCCCCACCCAGGTGATCTTGCCCGTCAGCATTCATGATTCGATGTTTCAGCAACCACGTACTATCAAACTCACCTTAGTTGCTGGTTACATAAAATTTCAAGGAGGACATTTTCAAAACATTATGTGAATAGGAGCTACTGAAGTCAAAGACAATAAAACATACAACACTTGAACTTTAAAAAGAAACATACTTCTTTTCTCCAACATGGCTGGCAAGTAACATAAGGTCTCTTCAGGATACTGTCAAGTTTCATTTGGTCCCGTTTAGTCAATGGAATTAAGTTATCTTTAGGTATATTTAGCCTAGAAAAAGCAGATGGAAAAATCAGTAAAAACAAAGTGTTCCTGTATCTTGAAGGTAGTGTATATGTCACTCATGTTTATTGTACTACTCTAAGAAATGCAGAAATCACAGACAAGAAAGTTAGTGCAGATCTACCTTTTAAGTCCAGAATTTTGGGGGGTCTGGCATTTCCCAGACCGACAAGTGACCGAGGTCACCGTGGAAGTCTGCTCTGAGCCACTGCTCTCCCTCACGCCGCACCCACAGGACGGCGGCAGGAAGACAGAAGCCGGCCGCAAACCCCACGAGCACCCGGCGTGTGCGCGCCGAGGCTAAGCTCGAAGCGGCACTGCGACCGGACACCGGGCTCGCATGGGGCCGAGTGACACGGCGAGATGCGAGTGGGCTCTCAGGTTCCCCTGAGCAGTCCCGTCGTGGTGTTCGATGAGAATGTTCTGGGCCGTGGAAGTGAGTTGTCACTTGTCACCTACTTGCACATGAACGCACACATACACACACCTATCAAGTGTTAAATTTTAAAAAGTAAAAGGTAGTTTTATCTCGGTGGAGTTTAAAACACGGAGCGTGAGAGGTCTGGGACGTAGGGCGTGGACCACGTCTGAAGTCGCGAGTGCTGGGTCTCCTGGGACAGCCCCAGGGTCAAAGTCGTCTTTAGTGTCCCTGTAACTCTGACCACTTGCCGGTGGCAGCTCCTGGGCAGGGTGACAATCTGACTGAAAGGGGACCTAGAGGACTTCCCTTGGTCCATGTTTCTGTGGCTACCCACTGTTTTTTTTATTTGGTTGCCTGTTTATTTGGAGTGGCTTTTGAGAGAACTAAGGGAATTTGTGAGTTGCGGCTGGAGCTTTCTGAGCCTTCCCCCTTAACAAAGGTCAGATCGCTTGCCCTGCATCTGCATTAGAAAGGCTTCACATGGTCGCCCCAAGGGACCTTGACCGTGACACACAGCAAGCACTAAACTAACCAAAGCTTTGATTCACCAGAGTGTACACACTCAAAACTCAAAAGTTAAATGTCTGTTCCTGTGACCTCGTTTTGTTAGAAGTGGCCATCACCCCGAACCTGTTCACGTCCCACACTCGGGGAGCAAGCACCCATCACCAGAGGTGGCGCCCTACTTGGACGACTCCAACCAGCACGTTCAGGTTCATTCTCACTGACCAGTTAAAGCAACAGTCAAGTACTTTTAAATGTCCCATTAGCAGAGATGAATAAAAGTGATGCCCTATGCTGAGGGACAGGTGGGCTCTTACTCTCCAGGGAAGCAAAATAATTAACCTACCCAGAGGGCAGTCCAGACCTTGAGAGGGCACACACCCTTTGCCCCAGCGACTGTGGGCAGCGAGCCCGAGGGACCCACTGCAGCCGCGGGCGGGCGCAGACTCAGCTACAGGAGGGCCCAGCGCAGCGCTGCCTCTCAGAGCGGAGGTCTGGGAACCGCCCGGACGTCTGACCTTGAGCAACAGGCAGAACACACACGGCACAACCAGAATCTGAGTGCGCTAACACAAGACATCACAATGAGGCTGCAGAAGAGAAACGCGTGTCCTGACACAGGAAAGCAACCTCACTGTGCTGTGTCAGAAAGGGAGATCACAAAATAACGGTAAAGATGAGCCCGTTTTTGTGAAAAGCTATGATTGTGCACAGAAAATAATCTACAAAGGTAAAGCTTTCATCTGAAGGTCATTTTTACCTTGTTACGTAATTCCCTCTGTAATGAGTGTATATATGAAACTCGCCAGACTTTATGTTCCAAACTTTATGTAATCTTAAAATGAGATTTTTTTGAAATTAAAAATTTAAATATAAGATTAATATGCCAAATAATGTTTCAATGAATACCATTTAACTAGCACCTACATTTTATACTTTCTAGGTGTAATAAATTTCAAAATATTTTAACAGTAAAGGCAAAACAAAAGATGTTCTCTAGCTTCCTGCAAGTTCACCTGAGCGAGCCCATTTAGGTGCACCGGCGGCCGAGGCAGACACACGGGCGAACCGAACACCTACCGCACAGCCCTGAGTCACCGCGAGCCATGAGCGTCGAGAGCATTAAGGGCTTTCCCTTGCGGTGACTTCTGGGGCTTATTGGGACGTAGTACTACGATGAGTCACTAGTTTGAACATCCCAGTCCCCCAACCCGCCTGACCTTTTAACATCCGAGGGGAGGAGACCAAGCCATCGAACGGCGGGAACCGTGAGGTTGTGGGCTTCGAAGGACATCGACTGGGACAGAGAGCAAAGGCGTGTTAGGGGGCTAGCTGGCGGAGAAGTGGCACACTTGTGTTTGCAGCCAAATCCTTGACTTATCAGAACGAATACCAAAGACTCCAGGCCCCAGAGCCCACTGGGAGTCAGAAAAGCGCCGAGAGCTCTACTAGGCCGGACTGTCCATGACGGTCTCCAAACGGCCCTGCGGTGTTTCTGGACCGACAGTCTAGAACTACGAAGGAGCCCCCCGACCTGCATTTGGTACCGGCTGTTGGGGCTCCGTCATCCTTCCCACCCGCTCTAAACATACACGGCAGGGACACTCCAGGGGCACACCAGTGGCTCCCAAACTCCACCATGGGTCAGAAGCACTGGGAGCCACCCCTCGAGATTCCGATTCAGCACGTCTGGACAGGGCCTGAGATTCATGTAGCTAGCAAGTGCCCAGGAGACGCTGCTGCTGCTGCGGCCCAGGACCCAGCTTTGGAAGCCACGGGGGCACGGTAGTTGCAGACCCCAGTGCAGAGACGGGTGCTCGTGGGGGAGGAAGGGGACCGGCCAAGGCAGGGATCCGGGCCACACACAACGTCCAGAGTGTTTGTGACCAGACTGCACTGTCCCCGGAGGCCCGAGGTCACTCCCGCAGCCAGCAAAGTGGAGGGCACAAAAGCCTCTGGCCCAGAGCTAACCCGCGCCATCATCTGCGGTAGCACTGGTCGCGCTGGAGCTGGGACCACAGCAGGGAAGCAGACTGGCCCTAGACTAGGGCAGCAATTCCCCTGGTATCTTTGGGGGCCCTCCACTTCCTAGGGGCTGGTAAGTAAGTGCAGAGATAACCCCAGTGAATATAAAGTATCTCAGAAGTGGAAAAAGAAAAATACTTTTCTGTACTTACCATAGATCCGTACTTATAAATGCACATGATTTCTATGCCTGTTGAGAGAGATAACTTTAAAATTAGGCTTCCTGTATATTACAGGTTAGATCGTTTTCACTGCCAAATTGAGTCTAATGTCTGCAGACTTTATTTTCGTGGACGTTACCAACGAAAACTTCCGGTTCAGTTTCATGTGGCTAAATGGCAGCAAGCTGCCCGAATGGCCGCAGTCATTAATTGTAGTCTAATAGCCACACCCTGTAAGACATGGGCGCAGTGCTCTAAGAGCAGGAAGGCACAGCGCTGCAAGCACGATCCCACCGGGACAGTCTCGAACACAGTGAGTGGCGAGTTACCGTGCGGGTCGGCGTCCACGAGCGCGACCGTGGGGACGTGGCAGGTGTCCCACAGCTTCCTGACCAGCAGTCTGGTGTTCAGGTCGGGCACCCCCTTCCCCTGAAAGCGAGATTGCGAAGGCGCGCTTTACTTCCGGAAGAACAGGCTAGTCTGTACAGCGATGTCCTTACATCAGTGATGACATGAATGTCGGGTCCCTCACCCCCAACTGCAGGTGCTGGGAGACAGGTGCTGGCTGAAAACACCCACGGTGCGGACAGCGGGGTGAAAGGCCCCCGGCATGCACCCTGACTCTGTCCTTCCCGCCCAAGGACGTCCGTCGGCACACGCAGCGGGAACACAAGCCTGACCTGCGCAGGGGTTCGCCGCAGCGCCACTGAGGAACGACAAAACGCCACAAACAGCCACGGTCTCTCCGCAGGGACACGGGGGGCGGGGGGCAGCACCGCAGCGGTGGCGTGACCCGTGCCAGCCTGGGGCCACACAGCCTGTGCCGACACCTCGGCTCCGCCCCTTCTCAGCAGCACGAACCCGAACGAACCCCAAACCTCTGCGGTTCACGGCTGTGTGACGCCTTCTGAGATCATACAGGAATTAAATTATTTAGTAACTACAAAGCACTTAGAAGAGTACCTGGCTAAAATTCAGGATTTAACGAACCTACGTGGTGGAGTGATACTGTGAGGCCTTTAGAACAGTTCCACAGAAAAGCAACTCACCGCGCCTTGCAGCGGCGCTGAGAGAGAGAAGGGGACAGCAGAGGGGCCCCGGGCAGGCCGGGGAAGGAGCAAGTGGGGGTTAAGGAGGGGCTTCCCGTGGGACGGCTTTGAGCCGGGACTCCCCCTCTGCCCGTCATTCGTGGGTGACGCCGGGGAGCTCCTCAGCCTCCTCTGGCCACAGCTTTGTTGAAAGGCGGAGACCCCGTGCCTGCCGCTCGGAGCTACGGCACTGCCGCAACGTGCAGCTGGCCTCCCTGCGTCCGGGTCCTGGTCTCGTGGCGAACACCTCCCTGCGCCCCGGTGCCCCGACGTTCAAACGGGGCGATGCCAGTGCCTGTCGTACAGTGGCTGAGGGACCTCACAAGTCGGTGTGTGACGAACGGCAGTAACTGTGCACTCGGACCATGTAAAGGGCCCGGGTCCGGGCACACGGGGACCACTCAGTGGGCGGCAGCGTGCTTTCCTTTTCCCTCTGGGAAAGGGCACCCGTGCCTGTGGTGGAGTCAGAGCACCCACGGACGGCCAGCGACCGGGACCCTCCGATCTAACCCTTCAGAGGCAGACACGGGCCGGCCCCCTCGTGGGTGTGTCCCGGGAGTGACGGCTGCACCTGTCAATGGGACCCTGCCAGCAGGACCTGGGGGTGGCGAGGACTAGAAGGCGGCCACAAGCAGACAGGGGAGGAAGGGCTGTGTGCGACTTCCCCGTGTGTGTGCACCGCCACCTCTGTGCTCTCTCCTCCGAGGCCCAGGTGTGACGGCGGGCCGCACCCACGCACACCTCCCAAGCGGTGGGACCAGGTGTGATTCAACCCCCCAGGATGCACAGAGGCCCCAGCCTCGCGCTTCCCTTGCGTGTGCCCGACAGGCTTCCAGTGCGCCCAGCACAGCGTGCAAGGGCAAGAGATCGGCCGAAGAGGGAGCCCCAGAGCGCGCCCAGCAGGAGGCCACTTCTGGGGTTCAAAGACAACCTCCGATATTTTTGAGGTCTCTGTCTGAACTTTCTGTCTCAACTTCCAACTAGGCACCACCCCAACGCGCTGCTACCGCCTCCTGTTCTAGAACTGCACTCACAACTCTCCCACGAAGAACCGACCCTTCCTGCTGCTCGTCCTGCAGCTTTCCACGGGTCGTGCGGCTCCGAAGGTCACACCAGGGCCGTGGGACTCATCCTCACCTCCCACGTCACCACGTCCTTCTGAACTGGCCCCAGGGACGTCCTTCGTTTCAGCCTTTCTCCTTAGCCGGCCCTCCTCCCTCCTTACACCGGACAGCCTCCTGCCTGGCTGCCCAGCTGGCCGACGAGTCCCGTCACCCCTTCCTCCCCAGTCCCAGACCTTCCATGAGTGCCTGCTGGGACCCAGCTGCCTCCCGGCGGGGGGTGAGGGGGGACAGGCCTTGGAAGACTCCCCGCAGCTGCCCCACACCCCACCTCCACAGCACACAGCTGACAGTCACCACAATTACTGGGGGCCTAGGAAGCCACGCTAAGTTTGAGTGAGCGAGCTTTTTCCTTTCTAAACCTAGGTTTTTACAAAGATCTACAAAAGCAGGAGAAAGCCAGCCAGGATAGGGCAGGCAGGGGAACCTATCCTGTTATCATGCCACCCCCTACACCCCAAGTGTCTTTTGCCTCCACCGCTTTCTGCCCTACCCCAGCACCAGTCACCCACACCCCAGCCCAGGAACCACCCCAGGCCCCGTGGCAGGACTCGCACTCCCTCCCCTTAGCTAACCGACCAGCCGTGCTAACTGACCAGCTGTGCTAACTGACCCAGCAGCACCCTGTTCTCCACTCTTTGCTGGTCTTTGAACACTTCTGGTTTTTAAAAAAGCAGGCTCCTTTGGTGGACTTGGTGAGATCACCTGGCACTCACACCCGCGTGGGGCAGATGAGGAGCGGCGCTTCCCCTCCAGCCCTGCCCAGAGCCCCTTGGGGAGGCTGGGAGGGGGACACTGAAGCCCACGCGCCCTCCCTGTGGTGTTAGGAAACTGCTGGTATTCAGAGATCAGGTCCATCGTTTTGATTTAACTTTTTTAAAATACGCTTATTCATTTTAGAGAGAGGAGAGGGAGAGTACAAAGAGAGAGGAGAGGGAGAATACAAAATGTGAGAGAGAAATATCAGTTGGTTACCTCCCATATGCACCCCAATAGGAGATCAAACCCTCAGCTAGGTATGGGCCCTGACTGGGGGTCAAACCTACAACCTTTTGGTGTACAGGACAATGCTCCAACCAACTGAGCCACCTGACCTTGATTTTAATCAGACTTGAGGCTGTTTCAATAAACATCTTTGAGCCCTGGCTGGGCAGCTCAGTTTGCAGCATTGTGACACACCAAGGCCGCAGAGTCGATCCCTGGTCAAGGCACATACCAAGAAGCAACCAACGAGTGCAGAAGTAAGTGGGACCCCCCCCCCACCAAAACTGGTGTTTCCCTTTCTCCCCTACCCTCAAAGAATCAATTGAAAAGATTAAATAGACACCTTGGAAACTCTTGTCTATGACCCAAAGGATGCACCGCACTGATAACAGCATGGCGCCCAGCTGTAGAGCTGGCGTCACAGGCCCCTTACGAGTCCCCAGAGCACTGTATCAGTCTCGGAACCCCAGTGACGACGGGCAATGTACCGTAACCATGATGCACGGAGACATTCTGCTGCAAAAGTTATCATCTAGCAGTCGCTGAAATGTTGCATCTTTTTCTACAATTAATAGAAATTTTGCATCTGTAATTAAATCTGTGAAGTTAAGGTGGACAAATTTAAGACAAGACTATTTCAGTTTAACCAACTAAATAATGGTGCCCTACACATCAATTCTAAAGCAGCTACAGATACAGTATTTTCATTTTTACCTTGAAACATGTAACAGATATTTACTCATGTATGTAGTTATCTGTCTCTGCTACAGCATGGTGAGCTCGTAAAAGAATCCTGCAGAAGGGACCATGGTAGGTGCGTCTTGGCCACTATAGAGTCTAGCTTGGTGGTTACATACCAGAAGGCTGAATTTATCACAGTAATGAATGAATGGACCTTCCAGGAGTTTAAATGGTTTCTCCATTCAAAGGATACTCCAGATTCCTTGAATATTAGATGGCACAGCAACAGCCTACGTTAACAAAACAAGACAGCTTTTATTCTAGATAAAAAGAAAGTATAGCCACATTTTTAAGTTTATCACAAAAATCCTGTATTTTCATATAAAAAAATATACCTGCCCTCAGAGGTTTACGCCTCAGCACAAAAACAACAGGAAATATTTGCTCTTCAGTAAGGACACAGCCCCAAGACCCAAGCCACTTCCCAGAAGGTTGAACCTTCCTGGGAACGTTGAGGACAACTTCCTGGCTTAAAAAGCAGAAACAGAGGAGGGGACGACTTCCTTGGGCAGGGCCTCACAGGCACCGCACCGTGTCGCCCCTCCCAAACTGGCGCGCTGGCCCTGTTTGCACTGCTTCTTTGGTACTACGGGCCTCCTACGTGCCAAAGCTGAGCTAAATAGCTTAGTTTCAAGCATATTAATTTCAGAACCAGAAAGGATTTTTTAAGGAAATTTTGTTATTTATTTATTTTTAGAGAAGGGAAGGGAGGGAGAAAGAGAGGAAGAGAAACATTGATGTGTGGTTGCCTCTCACTCGCCCCCTACTGGGGACCTGGCCTGCAACCCTGGCATGTGCCCTGACTGGGAATCGAACCAGCGACACTTTGGTTCACAGGCCGGCACTCAGTCCACTGAGCCATACCAGCCAGTGCCAGAACCTGAACGTTTACCTAAATAAACTAAAGATTACCTAAACCACCATACTAAAATGGCCAAGTCACTCTTGACCTGAATGGAACCGTCCAGTTTTAAAAGAAATGTGTACATTTATTTCAATGACACTTGACAGGTGGCACATTTTACAACTATACCTATTCCTATACCTATTTGTCCTTCAGTTTTATTTTAAAACCTTAAGCTCCAAACTACATAACAAGCAGGAAACAGAAGGCGCTCCCAAACACGGGCCGGGAAGGGGGCCCAGGCGCACGCACGCCGAGGCCGCTCACCGTGGCGCAGCTGCAGTGCACTTTGGTGCCGTCCTCCTCCATGTACCTTAAGTTGCCGGCGATTAAACCTTTTGACGTAGATAACTGAAAAAAGAGAGACATATTTGAAAACCTTTCCACAAATATATTGTATGCTGCAGAGTCATTTCTCACGTGCACCTGCTGAAACACATGTACTTTCAACTCAGTTTGTAGTTTAAGAAATGAAAGAAAGAATACGTAAGCGTATTTAGAAATAAAAAATGTTTAGTAATTCATCTATTTTGGTCCTATTCTTACAGGGAAATATTGAAAATAGATATTTAAATTTACAGTGAGAAAAATATAGTATCAAAAATTATCAAAAGAGGGAACAGATCACATTTATTCTTCTATTATAAATTTTATATGAGCATTTGGTCTTAAAATGAAATATTTAATATTAAATGCCACCTACTATATGTAGACACCTCCTCGGCACTTTCAGCATACAGGAAATGTCATTGATGATGCTGTCCACGGTGGTCTGATTTCCAAAGAGTTGGCTGTCAGTGTAATATATGTCTCTGGGAAAATTCGAAATTTAATTAGCCATGTTCTCCCTGAGTACAACAAGTGCTGCGGTTGTACTCAAAGAAAGCTTTAACTACATGAAACACACAGTAATCTATCATGTGGGTGAAAGTAACCTATTACCCACAGTCTAGTTGGACGTAAGTTTTCAAAACATGTAATGGAAGTTAACCTAGCTAAATCTTGCACTGCATTTTTTAAATTACTGACATTTATTTTTAAAGATTTTATTTATTTACCCTTAGAAAGAGAGGAAGGGAGGGAGAAAAAGATAGGGAGAAACATCAATGTATCAGAGATATATTGAGCAGCTGCCTCTTACATTCCCCCAACAGGGGACCCGGCCCACAACCCACGCATGTGGCCTGACTGGGAATCGAACTGGTGACCTTTCAGTTCATACACCAATACTCAATCCACTGAGCCACACCAGCCAGGGCTCACACTGCATTTTAAAGAATAATTTACCAGAACAATACATGTACCTTTTGGTTGCATAAGTGTCGCTCTGTACCAGTTTATAAATCATGGACAATATTTTAAGAATTAAAGCTGGAAAATAAGATGCAATAAATGGGTTACTCATCATTTCTCTAATTCAAAACATTTAACAGTCACCAGTTATTTTCCATAACATTACAAAAATTATCTTTCCAGTACAGAACATAGTTGCCTGAAGAATCAGATAAAATTATTGCTCAATGAACAGCAAAACTGAGACAATACTTTTCCACTGAATTATGTACCTTGAAAATTTATTTTGGAATTACAATTTACTTTCATAGTTAATGATGATACAAAATTCTATAAATTTATTTCAAGTATGGTGGTGGTTTATTAAAGAACAAGTAAAATTATTTAACTAGGAATAACAAAAACCCTGAAAGTGACTGAATTCATTTATTACCAAAAGCTAAGAAAGATTGACTTACCAAAATTTTTAACTGATTTTAGTGAATCACTTTTGATTTTTTTGGTGGTACAATGAGATATCATCTGAAGACCCACAGAATCTTCAAACCTGTCATTTTGTTTAAAGCAAGGGAATAACATAAAAAACAATCAATTTCTGAATTTCAAACAATATACACTTAATGTCTTCTTCTGCATATGATTTAGGTCCATGTTTCTGCAATGTAAGCATTAAAGCTTTGGGGTAGTTGGCTTAGATAACTCCATGTGACATCCGGGTGATTAGTGTTGTGACATATAAAGGCACTAGCAGAACGTGTTTAAAATAAGTGAGCTATAGACCTTTGATCATGACATGTGTGTGCGTCTGTGTGTTTCTTCCCTGGGAAGACATTTAGTGTATGTGAAACTATTTTCAAATATTTCACAACTAGCATTTTGCTAATTTCACCAATTCACTCAATGACTTTACTCAATGTAGTAAGTTTTTAAATATTTAATTTCTGATTTACCTCCCAAGTTACATGAAACGAAGTCACTTCTGCTAGGTTGTCAGAGTGAACTCCCGGGCCCGCCCCAGAGGGGGCGGAAGGCACCAGGCAAACAGCCCCGCTGCCGGGGCTTCGAGGCGTGTTGCAATCCAGCTTGCAAAACACGAAGCAAAACGTGATTCAAAAGCTTAGGTTTTATGTTCGTTACATTGATCATAAAAGAGTACTTAGTGACTCTCAGCCTCGACATTACTTTCATTCTGTTTCTGACTTTCACGGAGAACCACCTCTGCAGTGTTCTTCATTATGTCGTGGAGAGCCCCTACAGGCCGAGGATCTCAGAAAAACAAACTACGTAACCAGGCTCCCGGGCTCTGATTAGGCTGTTCGCTGATTTTACCCTCTTGGACATGGGACTTAGCAGGGGAGACCTGTTAGAGGGGAGAGGCTTTGAGACGCGCTCCGTGCTCAGGACACATTTACTTTGGTCTCCGTATCAGGACTGGTTGTAGCCCCAGAACAGGTGGTCTGCTCTCGCAGCACGGATGAAAACTGCCCGCCCTGAGTGCCGGAAAGCTCAGATCTAAGTTGGGAGCTATTTCTGGCAGGACTGCAAGGCTTTATCGTGTGCATTTGGAGTCCCACCCTCGTCCAGAGCTCCAGTCTTTCTCCCCGGCATTGTTTTCCCTCGGCCTTATCTTTGCCCCTGCTTCTAGTTGATGTGACCAGCCCATGTGGTATGTGTATTGTGAAATCCCTCAAATCCTTTTTGGCAGGGGTAAAAGCAATTTAAAAAATCTGACGAGAACTCTAACTTGAGTGAATTCAAAAGATGACATAGATACTGCATTTAGAAATATAAAAAATGCAAAATGCCCACTTTATGTTTTCCCAGGTCGATCTGTTATCTATGGTGAACGCAGGTGCTTCGTTTCTTGCCAAGCTGGTGATCACGTCCTGGATGACAGTTTCGATTGATGCAAGAACCTCAGAACTGAAACAATAAACACACCGTGATTCTACCTTAATTCTAAATTAGGCCCTAACAATATGCAACATTTCCCCAGATCAGCACTAAATTAAATCGTTGTGCCATCGGTTGTTTTTAAGCCTCAGTAATCCACGCCGGTAATGTCTCCCACTGAACTCCGACACCAGTGTGCCGCGTCAGCACAGCGGCACTGACAGTGGTGGCCGAACAGACCTTTCATCTGCTTGTAATTTCACTTTCCAAACAATTACCCATTGAAGAGGTATTTCCCTCTTAGGTGAATGACTAGACAATTCAATTTACAAATACACTTGAGTCTACTACCTTTCATATTAACCTACTTAAATACAACCTTGTTGGCTTTACCTGCTACTGTTTCCATTAAAAATGATGTCACGCCGGCTTTGAATTTAATTCCCAAAACTGCAGCGCAGAAGCATGGGCATTTCAAAAGAAACAGTTCCTTTTGTAGCTAATTACTCCGACTGATCTCATGCCTTGAATCGGCTCTTTGGAATTTCAGTGACTAAAGAAAAGTTTTCACCCCGGCCACGGAAAGAAAGACGGGGCCACTTCCCAGCGAACCATTAGCACTGCGCCCCGTTTTTGGCCGGCCAACGTTGGACTCCACCAGCTGCCGGCCCCCGAGCACCGATGCTGCTCGGGTACAAACACGTCGGCGCGGTGCCCGGGGCCGAACACCGAGCTCAGCAAACAGGCAACTCGCGGGCGCTCCTCGGTTCCACCGGGACGTGCTCCCGTCGGAACCACAGGGATCAGAAAATAGAACTTAAAATATTTAATATTCCCTGATAGCGACCTGTAAAAACGGGCTCTAATATTCATTTTTTTCCAGTTACAAAAAAGAAAAATAAAAAGTTGCAGGACCGACTCCGAGACGCAGTCAGATCAACTTACAGCTAAAACGCACACAGGGGATCCCCCACTCCCTCCTCCTCCTAAATGCCCTCAAACTAACTCTTTACGTAAACATTCGTTTGCTTGTGGGGGTTTTGTTGTTTTTTTTTCCTGATAGTTGGTTCGGGCTTAAAAATAAAAGACAGCCATTTATTCAGGCCGAAAAACGCTGCTGATAAACCAGGAAAGCGGATCAAAGCAGCAGAACAACGGAGCGTTTCCGGTGCGCGCAGGCAACGACGCAACGACGCGGACGCACTTTCCCCGTCGGGGCCGGGCCGCAGGGCGGGGGGCCGAAGCACCCGCCGAGACACGTGTTCATCCGCCGGCCGAAGCGCCCGCCAGGATAGTGTTCATCCGCGCCGCGCCCCGGGCCGGATGGAACTCGCTGCTGCAGAACCCGCCTCCACCAGGCGCCCTGCCCTCACTTCCCAGACACGAAAACCGCTGTTTCGTCATAAACCACTTCCGGTGTGCCGACTTCCTGGTTCATCGGGAGGAAACGCACTGATCGAAAACTCACAACATTCATTTCTCTCGTGCTTTCTCTTCCCCCCGCAAAAAGTCACAAAAACTCAAGTTTTAATTTTATCCCCCCGCTTCAAAAACATTTTTTTCCCCGCAACTATGCCCTGAACTCCCCCACCCAAAAGGACCTCAGGCAACCGCGAGCCCAGCTCCGGGGGGGAGGGGTGGGGGGATGCTCCTGGAACATTCTGGAACATTCTGGAAGGCACCAGGGGGTGGGCTGTCACTAGGCTTTTTGGAGTTCAAGAAGAATTAAAAGCGGGAAAGGGAAGGAGCACTAAGGGAGGCGCCTTCTCGGGGTTCAGGGCCCGCCGGCCAAGGGACCCGCCCCCCCATCCAGGGGCCTCAACATCTGGGAGGGGCAGCCCTCGGCCCCTAACAGGCAAAGACCAGAAGAGCTGCACCCGGACATTTCCCCACAGAGCACCCCCGACCCCCCACCAGGCCGTGGAACCTTCTCGCTGTCCACCTCTCGAGCACGTGCTCCCCCCGCCCGCAGAGCCCTCGTACCTGGAGGCCAGCCGTGTCCCCACGCCCGCGGGCTCCCCGCCGCCTGTCCTCAGGGCGGCCAGCAGGGAAGCCCTGTGCTGGTCCAAAGCCTGGAAGAACGAGGGCTCAGGCCCCATGGGCGCAAAGGCCATGAAGATGGACGGCGATGAAAAATCCCCGAGCGCAGGAATCCAACGGGGCCCCAAAATGGCGCGCGCTTATGGATCAGGCTTTTCCCGCGCTTCCTGGTTTAGGCCTCTTGCGCAGGCGCACACCTGTCCAGAGGCCCGCTGGACGGACGCCACGTGCACAGCACCTCCCGTTGAGTGGAGTGCGCATGCGCATGCAGGGCACTCTGACACCTGGTCACACTGGAGGGACAACGTGTCGGGTCCTTCCTGGGGAGTAGTCTGGCGAGGAATGGGGGTCCGCGGGGCGTGCTTAGGGTGTTGGACCTGGATTTCCTTGAAGTGGTTCCCTGTGTTTGTTTTTCCGGCTGTGCAGGGAAGGCAGGGCCCGAGATTCGTGCTTGTGACCCAGAGTTGTGGCGGCTCAGCGGTGTGGCCGAGTCCGTGCTAGGCGGCCCCTGCGGACGTCTGTGTAGGAGCCGAGGGCTCCCGCAGCCCGGGGCGCTCAGCCGCCCTCTGCGAGGGGCCCCGACCAGCCCAGCGGGTTCCCGTGGGGCTCACGGCCGCGGCGCAGGGGAGGGGACAGTGCGGTCCCCAAGGTCGGGCAGGCCTGGGTTCACACTGAGAAGGTTAAAATACAGGGCACTCGGCTGACTTGGAATTTAGATAAACACCGAGTACTTTTCTCCTTTCCCCTTCCCCTTCCTTTCCCTTCCCCTTCCCTTCCGCTTCCCTTCCTTTCCCTTCCTTCCCCTTCCCTCCCTTCCCTTCCCTTCCTTCCCTTCCCTCCCTTCCCTTTCCCCTTCCCCTTCCCTTCCCTTCCCTTCCCCTTCCTTCCCCTTCCCCTCCCTTCCCTTCCCTCCCTTCCCTTCCCCTTCCCTTCCCTCCCTTCCCTTCCCTTCCTTCCCTTCCCTCCCTTCCCTTCCTTCCCTTCCCTTCCCTTCCCCTTCCTTCCCCTTCCCCTCCCTTCCCTTCCTTTCCCCTTCCCTTCCCTTCCCCTTTCCCTTCCCTCCCCCCTCCCTTCTCTTCCCCTTCCCCTTCCCTTCCTTTCCCTTTCTTTCCCTTGCCCTTCCCTTGCCCTTGTCTCTGTGTCTCATGAGGACAGACCCCTCTGTGGCATGTGTCACTCTCCTCAGCCAGGAGCCAGTGGCCCCCCTAGATGTGACATGAAATGCAAGGTCCTGAGGCGGGTGGGGGTGGGGGCACGGGGAGCGGATCTGAACAGTCAGGGGACAAACGTGTGGTGAACCCGGCATCCCTGCAGGGAGAAACCGCCAGGCACGGCCTTGAAAGGTTCCCACTGCGGCGGGGCAAAGCGGGGGGCATCCCCCCCAGGCAGCTGCGGCTCTGCCTCCAGGTGGCCAGCCCCACTCAGGCAACTTGCACGCGTGCTACGTGTGCCTCCTCCACGCCACGTCCCCTGGGCCGGGAGAGGAAACCAGGGGAGGCATTCTACAACAGGCTGCAGGCGGAACCAGCAGAGGCCACTTTCCGGGGCAGCCCCCCTGCACACACGGTACTCAGTTCTCTCTTCCTGTGGGCCGGCTGGGCTCGCTTCGGAGACGGAGCTCACGCTGCACTCAGCTGACAAAAGGAAAAGCTTCCCCCCAAACTCACCTTCTTGCGAACTCAGTCTGACGTCCCGGAAGCTGTCTGAGGGCCGGAGCCTCCACGCGGGTTGGGAAGGATATCGGTTAAATTAGACGTGATTCTATTTTATTTTATTTTTACTTTATTTATTTTATTCTTATTTTTCGTTTTTTTAATCTTCACCCAATCACGTTTATTGATTCTAGAGGAAGAGAAAGGGAGGAAGAAGGAGAAACGATGTGAGAAAGAAACATCAGTCGGTTGCACACTGTACGCACCCTGACCAGGGATCGAACCTGCAGCCTAGGAATGCGCCCTGCCCGGGATTGAACCTGCCATCTTTGGGTGTATGGGACGGCCAACTCCAACCAACTAGCAACCCGGCCATGGCTGGGCTTAATTCTCGCACGCAGGTCTAGCCTGCCAGCAAAGGGAAGGAAGGCAGGGGAGGGTGGGGGGCCCTTGCAGCAGACCAGGCAGGAGAGGTGCCGTGGTTGTCACGTTTAAACAACGTGGCTTCTTTAGCGAATGTAAGTGAACGTTGACACATTATAGATGCTCGAGACAAAAAGAGAAAATGCCGTAATAATTTCTTTACTTCTTGGGGCATTGTGAGGTGTTTTTCTCCTTTTTTTTTTTTTAGCTTTTAAAAAATTATAAAAATGATGCATGCTTGTCAAGAATAGTAACAAAGTCAGGATGTGAACGTGAGAGAAAGCCTCTCTGCTGTGGCGGCCACTGCCCGCTCCGCCGTGGTTGGTCCTCCCTGGATGCGACCCTTCAGACCCGGGCATCCCTGCGTGTCGCCCCAGGGCCTTTGCACTTGCTCTTCCTGCAGCAGCTTGGCCTGCTTTCCCGCGCTCTGTCTTCACCCCCGCAGCCTGGCTCATTCTCCTGTATCCTTCAGACCTCGATCTGGGCATCTCCCTGGACCACCTTAAGGACGTCTTGACCCCTGGCTTCCCCTGTGTCGACAGGCCTGCGTTCCTCCACCCTGTCAGCCCCAGGAGAGCAGGGCCTGACTCATCCTCTGCTGCACAGGCCCGGGGTGTCTGGCACATGAAAGGCACTCAGTACTGTTTGTTGAATGAATGATCAACTGACTCCCAGTGGGATTATCTTTGTTATCTATCTGTAATATCTCAGGTGTCTTTCTACAATACCTGAAGAGGCATGGTTTTTTATATGAGTAAGACCCTATTCTACGTTTTTCTGGTATTGCTGCCTCTGGTCATACTAGTAACTGCAGTGTGCCGATGGTCAGACACTGGGCCAAGCACTGCAGACATAAAATCTCGTTTACTCCCTCCACCCATTTTACAGGGGACAAGGTTGAGGCTATGAGACGTAGAAAATTGCTGGGTCATAGGGACGCAGAGGACAAAATGCTGACAGGAGTAGTCTCTCTGCTCTCAGTTGCTATGGGAATTGCCTCAAAGTTAGGGTAACTTAGTGCTGTTGAATGAATTTCCCTGTTTTTCATAACCAGTGATCATGGAGCTGGGTGTATGATACAAAACGGATCAATAAAAGAAAGTTAAACTGAACTTCAGTAAGCTCAGCAAAATCTTTGTAAGCCGAGGGCTGCCTGATGGACGAAGGCGTTTGGTTTCGCAGAGGAAAGGAAGCGCTAGAACGCATCACCACGGGCCCAAAAGCAGCTTCCGAGCCTGTCACTCATGGCCGGCCTTCTCATCCGCAGCCGGCCCCTTCCCAGCCCTCCCTGGGGATTTGGAAGCAAACCCCAAGCGTCCTATTACCCATAAGTATTTGAACATGCATCTCTAAAAAAAATAAAATAAAAGGGGCCTTTTAAAAACAGCCATAATCCCATTATCATACCCAAACTTAGGTTCACAACCATTTTTAACACCACCAAATATTCCGTCGCTGCCGAACTGTCCCCAGTTATTTCTGGAATTGCTTTCATAGGTGGTTCTGGTCAGAGTGCAGATAAGGCCCACCTACTCGTGGCTCTGAGTTGACAAGTCTCCTAAGTCTCCTGAATTCCCCAGTTCCCCTCTTCCCTTCCCTTGCAGTTCGTGTCGAAGACACTGAGGCATTTGTCCCAGAGAGTTTTGTGCAATTGCGAGTTTGTGAATTGCCATCCCGTGGTGTCACTTTACATGTTTTTCCACCCCCGGTATTTCCTGTAAATCGGTGGTTAGATTTAGGGGCTTGAGTGTTTCTGGTTTGATATCTCTTTCTTCAGTAAAAATGTTTCATAGGTGGTTTCAAATATTTACGACCTCCAGTTGAGTATTCCAGGACCTCTGTGGCCGGGGGGCCCCCTGGCCGAGAAGTTCTGAGCGGGTCTGAGCCTCTCGTTAACGGGAGGAGCAGCCGAGCCCAGGGTGGGGGCGGGGGGTGTTCAGCCGTGCGCAGCGGAACCCTGCACAGGAGACCGACCCCGCGGAGGACGTCCGGGGACAGCTTCAGAGCCGTGCTGTGGCTCTGCAGGGAGCGCTCCCTCTCCGACTGCTAGCACCCCAGGTGGCTCCCTGCCACCAGCCTGACTCAGCCTGTCTGCTTTTTATTTCTCTTTTCTTCACACCCCAACAGGGCTGCTAATTCCCCCTTTCCACACCCACCCCTCTTCGCTGGAACTGCTAGAGCCATGACCTAGAGACACCCCGCTACCACTGCTGCCAGCCCTGCGCCAGAGTCGGGTCAGCGCTCCGTCTGAGGATCCGTTGACTCTAGGCAGAGACTGGCTCGAATGGACGGAGACTCGAAAATACCGTAAGTCATCCTCTTCCTCCCCCTCTGCTGCAGCTTTTTCTTCTTTTCCTGCTTTCCATTGTAAAGACTTCTTGGCACCTGGTTTTGGTAGAAGGAGACCTTTTCTGAACGACCTGAAGGCATGTTTGGTGCCCAAAGCCAAGGCGATAAAAACTCCGAAGATGCCCTGGCTGGCGTAGCTCAGTGCATTGAGCGCGGGCTGCGAACCAAAGCATCACAGGTTCGATTCCCAGTCAGGGCACATGCCTGGGTTGCAGGCCACAGCCCCCAGCAACCGCACATTGATGTTTCTCTCTCTCTCTCTCTCTCTCTCTTTCTCCCTCCCTTCCCTCTCTAAAAATAAATAAATAAAACCTTAAAAAAAACGACTCCGAAGGTGTTTTTCCCATGCACAGGCACACGCCAGAGGGGCTTTCTCATTCGCACGGTGACCAATCTGCGCTGCATCCGGCACACAGACACACGCGCCACTCTGGTGCCGGGCCCTTCTAGCACTGGCGACTCAGCAAAGGCCAGGGCCACCAAGTGCCCGTGCGCACGTTGCTGGTATTTGGGCGGAGAAGTCAGCTTACAGAGAAAAAACCGAGTGCACGGCATCAGTGAATTTCGAGACGTGTTGTTACAGGGAAAACGGCTCAGGGTGTTCGGGGAGCAAGTGGATGGACAGGAAACAGCAGAGAAGTGTGCAGGAA